CCTCCAGGACAGCCATGCCCAGCTAGGGGAGCAGCACCGGGCCCTGCAGGACGACATGGCCCTGGCGCGGGAGAAGATCGAGGAGCTGGAGGTGAAGGAGGCCAGGCTGAAGGAGCTCACGGTAGGGCACTGGGTCGGGCAGAGGGTGTCAGGTGCATCTGGCAGTACGAGTGTACGGATGTACGGATGTATGGTGTCGAGGGTTACTAAGGCATACAAACACATTTCCCCTTATGCCCATCCCGTGCGTGCTGCTTTTCTTAGTTGCGTCCTGCACTGCACCGCCTTCCTAACCGCCCTCCTGTCGGCCGTTACTCTCAACCCCGTGGGGGGGGGCCTTTCTTTTCCGTTTGCTCTTACCAGCACCCTTCAACCAGTCGTCATTTGGCTCCTTGCTAAGGCTCCTCTGTATGATGTGATAGTGCACCGATGCCGCTGTTAGGCGATGCGGTTTTTTGTTGGTCCCCCGTCTTGGCAGTTAAACCCCCTTTCTGGCCCTCCCCCTCCCCCCCCCTTCATTCATATGCCCCACCAGGTCCAGCACGAGGAACTGAAGACCGCGAAGGCTCGATTAGATCAGCAGTACGCAGGAATGGTCAAGGTGTGTATGTGCGTCTGTATGTGCGTCTGTATGTGTGTATGTATGTGCGTCTGTATGTGTGTATGTATGTGCGTCTGTATGTGTGCATGTGCGGGTTGGAGGGAGGGCAGAGGAGGCGGGTGAGCTTCATGGGGCCACTGTGTGCGTAAGGAGCCACTGTGGGGGGATCGCCACCGCCACCGGCACAAACACCTGGTGGTTATAACCACCTAACGACCGCTGACACACACACCTTCTGACACGGTCCGCTGTGTTCCCCTGGCCCTCCCCCCCTTACCTATCCAACCCCCCACCCCCACCCCCTTAGGCTAAGTCCCTCCTATCCTCCGAGCTGGCTGGTTTGAAGCGCCATGCGGACGTGTTGGCGGATCAGGTCCACGAGTACCGGCGGCTGGGCGGACGGAGCCCGACTGGCGCTGGAGGAGGAGAAGGAGGCCCTCAGACACACCAAGGTGCCTTGATGGG